GTCCCAGTTCGAGCGAGGTCGAATTGTCAAATTCAACAGGAACACTGCCAACAACAGTTCCATTTTCGGAAGATTTTCCAATAAGCCTACGGATAAGATCAGTACCAGCAGTAATATTACCCCACTGATCGCTACCACCAATTTGCACACTGACACCTTCTTTTTCATACAAATGCACAAAATCATAACCTTGTAAAAGCTGATATGTAAACTCAGCGTAACTCATCCCTTGCTCTGCATTCTCCAATCTTTTCTTCACACTTTCCTTAGACATCATAGTCCCAACTCTTGCATACCTCCCCACATTCCTCAGAAAATCTAAAAACTTCACATCCTTCCACCAATCATAATTATTCAAAATTTTCACCTCTCCGGCATCTTCACAAACATCTGGTGGGCAAACCAAAATCTTCTTAATAATACCTCCAATGCCAGATATATTCTTCTCAAGTGTCACTAAATCAAGCTCGGGTCGCTCCAAACTCTTCCCAGATGGGTCACCGATCCGACCCGTAGCGCCACCAATTAGCGCAACAGCATTATGCCCACAACGTAAAAACCAAGAAAGCACAATTATACCCAAAAGGTTACCAAGGTGTAAGCTTTCGGCAGTCGGATCAAACCCGCAATACACTTTCAATGGACCCAAGTTCGGGTCGGAGCAAACGGAGCGGAGAGAGTCGCTGGTCACTGATTCCAGTAACCCTCTTTCTTCAAGAATTTGTAGAACATTGGGTCCGGTTTTCTCATTCGGGTTTTGCAATTTTTCGGTTCGTCGATTTTCTTGGGATATCAATTGGGTAGACGAATAGCAAAAGGGGCGATGGGAAAATTTGTGGTTATTGGGGAGAAAAAGGCAAGTGGGTAGTGAGAGTTTTGTAAAGAAAGAGGGAGCGAAAGGACTTTGAGTAGTAGTGTTGAAAAGAAAAGTTCGGAGGCTAGAGTTAATGGCGCCGGCGGCAACCATTTTCCGGTAGTTTTGCAGTTTTATCTGCTTGGGTTACAGTTTAACGGGAAACACAGAGTTCTTGGAAATTGTTTCAATTTATTTTGTAGTTTTCGCTATTTAACTATATAATAATAAGTGAGTGTTTTGGTACGACGAAGGGTAGTTCCGTAATAACATCATTTTTTATGGCCATTTTGGTGCTTGCATTTCAACCTTTTGTGTCCCTGCTTACTGATACGTGTTTCATTTGTTGGATACAACTGGATTGCACTCCCCGGATGTGGCCATTTCTTCTAGCTTCTGCTTCTTCTTCATCACTCTCTGTTTCTTCTTCTTTTTCTTTTTCAGTTCCTTCCTTCGTTCTTCACATATGGTCATTCTTATGTTCTTGTTCTGTTGAGAACTTTGTGTTTTGTATTTTTTATATTTGTAAATTCCTTGTCGGATGCAACTGAACGGCCATCTCTAACTCTAGAAGTTTCTTCTCTATCTTTATCTTCATTTTCCTTCATACCTATCCCTTATGGTTTTCATTGCAAAAGTTCTCCGTTTTGGTTGAAGTTTGTCTATGGCGTCTACTGTATTTTTTAATTTTGGTAAAAAAAAATTCCTTCACCTGTTTCTTGATTTATAGGGATTTGGTGCGTATTTGTTAAATTTTCTTTAGGACTCTCTTGCTGGGATCTAAAGATGCATGTATGTTTGCTAGGTTTCGGAATTAACAAAAGGCCTATTTTTGGTCAGAAAATTAATTCCCTCATCATGTTCTTTTTCATCTACTGAAAATCAATGTTTTGGTTTTCCCCTTTCTAATTTGTAATTTTTGTTGTTCAAAGGATTGTACGCATGCAGATTTTCTCATAAAATTGCTAATGGTTGACAGTAATTTGTTGGACCTTTGAAATAATTTCCTTATCAAGTGCTGACCAAAAAACCTTACTACTTCTCAAACAACAATCTTCTGCCCCAGAACTTTAGTTGCCTATTAGTGTTCCAATAAATTGAGCCGAATCTGAGCCCTTTGCTAAATCGCACTCTTTCATATGAAGAATCTAAAATTACCGCTTTTCAGTTCCTGTTCGGTTTTGACTCAAACATTTCTGGAGAGAGTTGCAGACGAGCCCGTTGATTCACTCCGCTGAGGTTAGTTTATGCTCTAATTTTCGACCTTTTAGTTTTGTGGTCTCTTCTTTGTTAATTTTCTATTTTGAATGGTTTTTAGTGTTTGTTCAAACTGCTTTGTTGGATTTTTGTATAGTAATAGTGTTGCATGCATTTATTCTTGACTTTGTGGGTTATGATATCTGTTGGTTTTTGGTTCTTCTTCTTTGCTCCGTTGCATTAATTTGCAAGTTCTTACGGATCCTTCTACTTCCATTTGTTGAAGAAAATGCATTTACTATGTCGGGCTTGGTGTATTTGCTCTAGCAGCGGAAATTCATGGATGGTAAGGACATTTACCTTCCTCATTTCATCTGGCATTTGTCCGTCCATCCTGAAAAAGGAATTTACTGCAATCTTTTGGTTGTGAGATGATGAATTATCCTTTATTGGTAGTATCTAATGTCACTTAACCAAGATAGGAACAAGGTTACAGAAGTACAATCTTGGATTATACCACGAAGATCGTTGTGAACTTTTTGTTTGCACCTTATTGGTAAGTCAATTTAATTTTTTCGATGATGTTTCATTTCTGTATGAATTGTTCAAACTCAGTATGTTACTATTTTCCATAACATTGGTGGGTTTGGAGCTTGACTCTTGGTACTTTAGGGGGTTACCTTGATTTTTTCAGGCAAATTATTCTATTTAAACGACACTAATTGCCAGTGTTGTAATTTTTGGTTATGTAGCTTGATTATTATGAATCAAAGGTGTAACTAATATTGCATTGTTGGAATGGTAATGGATTATTATCATAACATTTGTATCTTGTTTCTCTTCCAGGTCCAAACAATATGCATTAAGAACTTTAAGATAACTTAATTTGATGGATGGATTATTGGACGAATATTCTTCTTTATTAATGATTACATTTGGTCTAGAAATGAACATTGATCAGCATGCAATTTTAACAAAACTTATTTTTGTGTTAGGTTTACATAAAAGTTATCTCAATATAACTAATGCAATTTCAACAGAACTTTTTTCTTGTTATGCATACATAAAGTTATGCCAAAATAGCTAAATGAGTATTGTTTCAGATACTATGGCCAGTAGTTCGTCATATGGGATATTTACTACAAATTCTTTGCGTAAACAATTCTTATATGTAACATTTTCCCCCTTTTTACTGTCAAAATATAATCTCTGAATGTACTAGCACTAGAATTAGACGTGAGTATCATAGTTTGTAGGCTAAATCAATAGTTTACACGACTAAATATGTTGATAGAAGTTAGAGTTATCTAATGCGTTTTAACACTCTTAGGTTCCTTATATTTCTCAAATGACCTAAACTCCGTACTGTTTAATGATAATATTGATGTATAGCGGACTTTGAGTAGTGCTCCTTTTAATAGGTTTGAGGAAGGCTTATTGAATTACTTGCAATTTAATGCCTGAGATAGGACATCTATTACTTACAATTTAATACCTGAGATAGGACATCTATCCCCTGATAGGAGAAAGCTTCCGAACAACGTTATGGTGAATATTTATGAACCAAAGAGGCTGTTGTTTCATTTTCGATGTTGCAGAATTATAGCGACTGAAGTGACTACCTTGCTTCCTGATGCTAAAACTGAAGTTGAAAAAGCAAAGTTCTTGAGCTTAGAACTTATATTGACCCATTAAGATGTATTTTCTCACCTTTCTCCTTCTGTAGCTTGCTGAATAATGGCTTAAGCTTATCCACCTTTGTAGATAATGGTCTTATCGCTACACACTTTGTTATGGGTAGATCGAAGTAACAAGATTTTGTATATACACGGTAAACCCCATGTAATGTGACTTTAAAGTCTATGATTCAGGATATATACACTTATGTTATTATGTCTCTGTTAGCTTTTGATTTATCCAGCTAAACTTTTGAATGTTCTAATAAATATTTCCTTGTCTCCACGTCACTGATGACACTATTACAATCTAAATGCTGAAAAAGGCTTTTTCTTCTTGCAAATATATTTATTTTCAGTTGAGAAGGACTCTTTCTTATTTGCTGAATTTTTTTCTGTTTCATAAATTTCCTACTTTAGGCTTATTTTTCTTTCTATGGGGGACATGAAGTTGACATAGACTCTGCTTTAGGAGGCTAGCCAAATAATGTTATGTTTCTGCTTGACTCTTTACTTGTGTATCGTTCTCCTTTGGCTTCTCTCAAATAAGAGAAACTATTTACTGTTATCTTACTTGAATAGCCAACTGGTATGAAATTGGGGTTTTGAGTTCAATATTTTTTCTGACAAACCTTTGTCGGCTCATAAACTGGAGTACGAACGATCATAGTACGGCCCCTCATCTAATATAAACTTAATGTGAAGATTAGGGATCATTCCTCCATGATAATATGTGAGTAATATTGCTTTTGTCATTGTTTGATAATCCGTGTCTTATTATTATTATTGTAAATATCTATCTTCCTGTACTTGATCATTGTTTGGTCACATTTATTAAGGCTTTTGACTTACTATGCATGATCATTGTTTGGTCATAGCTATTATTTTTTGGCAGATTCTAAATGCAGAAGTGGGGTTAAGAATGGTGAAATAACATGCAAAAAGATGATAGTTTGGGCAAGATGCATCTTGCTAGAGTGTGTACAGATGGAAACTTAGTGGTAAGGTGGAAGGATCCTGTAGCGAGGATATTCCTAGCTAGATTATACATTTTTAGAGTTTGTATCGTATGAGTAGCATAGCACCAGTCATCATCTTCAGATTTCAACTTAGGAAAAGCGCCTTTAATGTGATAAATGTTCTGGTAGCTATTGAATGGACTACTATATTTTCACACTTTTCCCATTGGAAACTCTCTTATTGGATTTCAAGTTGAAGTAGGATTTTGCGGAGGTGTTACAAGGTTTTCTTTTGCATTTTGGTGGGGCCGAGTGTGTGTACTGTATAGGTTGAACCCCTTGTGTTGCTATAAATATTTACCTGTCAATATCATAAATTGTAGTCTATTACAAAATATTTACCCAAGAGTTCATCAAGTTAACTGTATTTAAGTTAAATTTCTATTTTACTTTAGCATATAACTGATGATTCCTTTGCATAAATCATTTTGGCAGGAGATCAATATGGTATTGGTGCTGTAGAAGGCAAGGAGTGCACCAATGCTGGGGTAAGGACGGTTTGTAGCTTATCTCACCACAAAAGTCATGAGGTATTCTATTATCCTACGATTGACATTTTTATTAGTCAGTGGTGATTAAGTTAGTACTCTAAGGCTACTGATGGTAAAATTTCTCCTTATAGGCTGAAACTTATAGAGACTACTTGGGAAAAAGTTGAATGTTTTTTTTATACCAATTTGCCCTTAAAATATATATAGCATCAGGTTAGGATCCTATGGTATTTTCGTTGGAGTAAGAGGTACAATTGAAGCTTTAAAAATTTCTCAAAATGTATTGTTCAGCATCTCCAATATTTTCTTCTTAAAAATATTGATTAAAAACCATATTTTCTTAAAAAAGAAATTCTGTTGACTCACGTTTGTAATTACCATAGAGCCTTCCAAATTTGAAATTTTACCCTTTATCTCTCTTATCTCCAATTTTTTGATTTTTAATGTGATGCGTAACATCATTATGTTGTTTTCTAATTTTTTGTTCCTCTGGAAGGTTGCTTTTACATAAATATGATCAAGAAAGTTCTGCTTATTGTCCAATATATAATAGTTATCCTCCAAGTTACTGTATGATGCCCAAAATTTTATAATAAAAACATTCTTCAAGTTGCACCATTTAGCTAATTGACTTAATTAACTTTGTTTCAGAGAAGCAGTGGAAAGCATTCTCTAGATTGATTGAGCATTACCTGGTTCGACTTGCATCAACCGTTGAAACTATTTAGTTTTTGTAATCTACTTTGGAGTTTTTCCATTTGTAATCCGACTTCAAACTATTTAGTTTTTGTAATCCGTTGAATGATGGAAGCATACTGTTAAAATATTATGGTATAGCCAGTTTTCACACTGGTCAATGAAAAATAGCCAGCGTTTATCAAGTCAATGAAAAATAGCCACTATTTTGCTGTAACAGGGACCGGTCCAGTATAATATACGGGAGTTCTGGTGCATTTGTGTACGAACTCTAGCATATTATGCTGGACCGGTATACTTTGCTAACTCCTGTAAAATTTGCGGGAGACTGGAGCACCAGTGCTCCAAACTCCAGTATATTATACTGGACAATTATACTTGCTGGAACTCCCGTAAAATTTGCGGGAGTTCAAGCATACTTATGCTGGAACTCCCGTAAAATTTGCGGGCGTATTTTTCCGGATTTTGAACAGTGCTTTCGCTCAGATTTAAAGTGGTTAAATTTCGATGACTTTTGAAACTTCTATTTTTCAACGACTAGTGGTAAATCTGGCTATTTTTGAATTTCTCCCAAGCATACTCTGTCAAACATTTTATTTTGGTAATCATTTATTTGTACAATGAGCACAAACGATGTCAGGCATAGGCCCAAGCATAGCAGCACGGGCACTGACCATCTAGTTAATTTGTTAAGTAATAGTCGTTGGGAGGATCAATATTAAAAAATATATTATTTAAAATTAAATTATGATCCAACTTGTTTGAACAATAAATTGTATTATTTTAATAAGTTTCAATTATTCTCTTAAACTACGATATACCCAATCATTAAATTATATAGTCATCGAATAATTATTTTTCTTTATTTTTATCCAATGCTAGTAATATTTTGTCCTATATTTTATTACTCTTGAAATATTTTTGTTATTTAGAAGTTTATTCTATTATTCTCAATAATATTGTTCGAATTTTAATGAATAAAATCTCTATTAAGTTGAAGTGATTTATAATGATCGAATAACTTTTTGTTAGGTATATTTCTTTATTATATTATCCAATTTTTATTACATTGTTAAAAGGAATTTTTATTAGCATATTACTTTGATTAATATTTTTATCTACTATTTTCTTTTCGTAATATAATAGAAAATATATATTTTATTACTCTTAAAATAGTTTTCAATTTTAAATTTTATTCTATTATTTTCAATAATATTATTTGAATTTTAATAAGTAAATACACTTTTTATTTATAAAAAATAAAAATAATTTAAACAAAAGAAACAAAGAAATTAACTATCTAAACCAAAACTCACCCATGTTTGAGTTGTAGTTTCTTTATGACAATTATTTCATTTTTTTTTCCTTTTTAAATAATTTTGAATCTCCAAACTTTTAGGATGTTTGTCCTAAAATATTGTTACACTTGTCATCATAACGTTGATTTGCTTCTTTTATTCTCTATAAAAAGTATCTGTACCCGCGCGTTGCGCTAAGATATAACATTTGAAAAGAAAATATTATTTAGAATTTTTTTTTTTTACTATTGAGCCTATATATTGACAATTGGAAGGAAGTATGAGATAAGCAAGAACAAAGGTAGAGCTTTCATTTTATAATTTTTATTCTCGGCATCAACAATAGTAGCAGATGTCATAATTATAATTAGTAGTATACATTCTGGGAAAATCAAACTTCCATCGAAGAGAAGCAAATGAAAGGCTTTCATAAAAATTCTCGTAGAATCGAGAATGAAGTTTTCATTCTGTACATGCCATAGAGTAATCAATAGCTCCAAAGGCTAACTCCTACTTAGGCAAATACTTAAACTGCTACTCAATAATTAGACATAAATCATCTCCATGTCATAATGTATGGATATGTGAAGTATGCAGTCACATTAAGTTATTAACCACGACATTCTTGACAGTTGAGCCAATGTAGGCCTTAGCAATTTTCGTTATCTTTGTCAGCACCCTAGAAGAGATTTCTTCAGCATCAAACTGCTTGTCTTCACTCTTGTAGTTTACAACAATCATTAGATTATCACCGGGTCCAGGAATAATCTTAATAGGCCACAATTTCATGTCACCTTGTACATATGCATCACTAAACCTCATGCCAATCAAGGGCGGCTCTAGGGTAAAGCAAGTGAAGCTATTGCCTTAGGCCCCCAAATATTTAAGGCCCAAAAAATATAAAGTATGATTATATATATAATTTATATTTATATAATTATTGATAAAATATTTTATATTTTAATATTTTTTTGAAACTTGGTAGAGGTGGGATTGAATAATCTAATAGGATAAAAAATTTCTCTCACTAAATTAAATAATATATTTACCTTCTCATTAAATCTATTTTTCTTCTTCTTTATGTATAGTCTTTTTCATATTTTTCACTATTTTAATTTCTAATTTCAATTCAGATTCTCTAAATTAGCTATTTCTATTTGTCATATTTGATTGATCCACACATCAGAAAATAATTTTTTTTGTATCTCATCTTTTTTAACTAAGAAATCCCCAAGATAAGTGTACATAAGGTTCAAAACATGACTGATAATAGGCTCAAGCATTTTCACTTAATGCTACATTTCTATACAGGGGAGAGTTCAATACCATATTGTGTGCGCCACACATTATACGTTGCTATCTTACCACTAAATCAAAGCAATGTAAACTTTTTTTTAATAGTATATGGATTTTATGACAGAAATTTAAGGGTCCTCTAATATATTTTAGTTTCAAACCACTAGTTCCGTTGAGCCATCCCAGTTAATGATCAACAATTATTTATAGATTACAACCAGCTTCATTCACATTTTATAACTAAATAATTCATTCACTAATTTTTGTTTTATCTTAATTGAAGCACCATAAAATTTGATTGAGAATGAACGAACAGGTAGCTCAAGTAGGAGACTAGTAAGCTTTGATATAGGTCCAAAAAAAATTTCAGCAATGAATTTTATGATTTTATTTCAAGTTAGACAATATTAAAATTTACAAAAAAAAAAGTACAGAAAACCTTGGACAAAAGAAAAAAAAGAAAGATTGTCTACTCCTTAACACCAAAAATATTTTAGAACTTTCAATTAAATTACTTAAATCTTCATATTAGTAAATATATTTTTTTGTAAAAATATTAAAGGGGACATATTGAAAATACATGTCTAACATCTTATATATTTAAGTTAGCTCTTACTAATATAAAAAATAATAATAATAATAATAATACTATTCTGTGAAGTTAAAGGCTTTATCATTTAAGAATGTTATACTATAAATACCAAATATGAAAAATGGCAACACTAACTTTTTTATGCATATGTATTAATAAAAAAAATATAAGGTCTCTTATTAAAATCTGGCTTTAGGCCACTAATTTTATTGAGCCGCCCTTGCTGCCAATAAACCACTTTACATGTGCCAATGTAAATTATGATGAGAACTGCATAATAGAATTAGAATCATGTAAATACTACATGGATTACAACACAAAACCTATAACGTAGCAAATTACATGGAAAACACACAAGTTTTGAGAAATATGTCATTAATAAATATGAGAAAAAGGCAAGTGGGTAGTGAGAGTTTTGTAAAGAAAGAGGGAGCGAAAGGACTTTGAGTAGCAGTCTTGAAAAGAAAAGTTCGGAGGCCAGAGTTAATGGCACCCGCGGCAGCCATTTTTCCTTGAGTAGTTTTGCTGTTTTATCTGCTTGGGTTGAGTGTTTAACTGGAAACACAGAGTTCTTGGAAGGCTATCGTGTGCGTTTGTTCCTTTAGGACATCCGATAAAATTGTCTCAATTTATTTTGTAGTTTTCGCTATTAATTTCTAAACTAGTAGGTGTACCCGCGTATGTGCGGTATCACGATCCAAAATCCACTAAAAATCGTGATTGTATGGGGTCAAATTCTGCCCATTGCGGTAGCTACGACCGTAACTAAACAATGGTCGTAGTGAGGTTACGCCCTCACTATGTCGGAGCGAAAATGATTTATTAGGACTCGTCGCCCCCTCAAGGACACGTGACCCATCTTTGTATTATTTTATTGTTTCAAGGGGGTCCTCCTATTATATAAAGGAAGACCTCAATGTTGTAAAGGATCTGATCATTTTTTCTAATACAAGTTCCCTCTCTCTCTTTCTCTCTCTCTCTATCTTTTACTCTCTAGAACATTCAACCTATCAAAAGCAACAAAAGATATTATTCACATTTCTAGGTCTTATTATCTTCGATTACGATTTACCCTTGATCTATTTTTCGATTGTATTTGCTTGCAAAGTATTTACCAACTTTCGAGTCAAACAATTTAGCGCCGTCTGTGGGGATTTTGGCAATCGAAATCATAGTTTGCACCTAGAATATCGAAACGAAAACCACCTTCCTTCACACCCTATTGGAATCAAAAAATGGCAGAAGATGACGCAAGATTGAAAGCAATAGCAGGCGTCACAACCAACTTGATAGGCCCCCTCAACGAGGCCAGCAAAGAAAACATCTTGACCACAACTCCTGGTAGTACTCAAGAGGGAGAAATCTCACCCTCCCCATCTGAAGATCTGGCGATCTTGCAAGAAAAAGGAGCTTCCATGTCTGCAGTCAAAGAAACACCACCCCCGGTGGTCAAGAAGCTACTGGAAGAATGGCTGATGAACACCCTAGGCAGCTTGGTCGAAAAACCACCCCAAAGCAACATCAAGAACCTGTTGACAACAGACATCGCTACCACCAGTGAACACGATTCCCCGAGATGACTAACAACGAGGCCGAGTACGAAGCTGTGATTGCAGGAATGAGGTTAGCCATCAAGTACGGAGCTCGACGACTTATCCTCCATTGCGATTCAACTCGTGGTAAATCAGGTCACCGGGACTTACCAAATCAAGGAATAGAGACTACAGAAATATCAGTCAGAAATTCGTAAGTTGATGCCAGAATTCGACGAGTGCCGCCTGGAACAAATCCCGAGGGCGCAGAACGTCGAAGCAGATGGCCTAGCCAAGTTGGCTGCAGCTACCAAAAACATCAACAAGGGAAATATAGTCACCCTACTCCATTCGACCATAGATCACACTGAGGTACTCTCTTTAAATCTAACTTGGGACTGGCGTAATCAGTTATCTCCTATCTGCAGGACAGGACACTCCCACTCGATAAAAAGGCAGCCAAAAAG